CTTCTCGTGCAGGTGAAACTTCAGAATTCCCTTGGCTCCGACTTTTACTGATTAGCGCAGGTATGTGTTGAGGTTTCGCGCTTGCCGGCCGAACATAGGCTGCAGATGGTTTCTGTGCACCTCTGCCCGGAAGCTTCAAGAAGATGCGTGGCTGAGGTTGGCGGGGCTAGATGCTGATGACAGCGACCTCGGCACAGGCCATGGCTAGGCTGGAGTCACCCGCACCGCAGCACACGTCTGATGCTGAGCTTTTTGCTTGGTTGACGACAATTTGATTGTGCCCGAGCAGCTGCAGTTGATTGGAATATGTCCGTGCCAGCCATGCGCTGCGTGGCAAGGTCAAACCTGGTCTGGTGCCCTGCAAAACTCAGTGTCAAGGACTTGCTGCCAATGGACGGCTTGGGCCCCAGAGAAGCATTTGCTTGGGATCGGCTTTGCAGATCTCCCGGCACCAGGTTCTTCTAAGATATCTGAAAGTTCGGGCCTGCGCTTTGTGAGACACAGGTCTTATTTTGCACACGTCCTGAAATTTGGGACTTGCAGGAACCGCTCGTGCTTGGGTGGCCAGCATTGAAGAAGCAGATCGGCAAGGCAAGGCACACGTTGAACGCATCTCAGATATGCTTTGGACACCGCTTCGAGCATGTCCAACGTCACACACGGCTTCCGAAAAACAGTGTTAGCCATACTGTACCTGTGCTAGAAGCATTATCCAACATATGTGCGCATATCACGTGGGTAATGAGTACATCTTCGCACGCATAAGTTCAAAGTACATATGTGATTGCTTGAAGAGAGTATTTGAAGGTGCTCACACACATACTGCACTCCTGCATGTTATGTATGCACGTATGTGTATATTATGCATCTCTACATTTACATATATGCATATATGTGGGTGTGCGTGTTTGTTTGCATGTATGTATGTACCTATGTATGGATCTATGTATGTACCTATGTATTGATGTATATATGTATGTACGTATGTACGTATGTACGTATGTACGTATGTACGTATGTACGTATGTATGTATGTATGTATGTACCTATGTGTTGATGTATGTATGCATGCATGTATGACTGTATGCCTGTACCAATGTATGGATATGTATGTATACATGTATGTACGTATTCGCAGTACGTACGTGTGTATGCGCGTGCAGGCATGCACGCGTGCATGTATCTGTGTATGTATGTAAGTACATATGCAAGCATGTATGTAGGTGCGCTTCGATGCATGCATGCATGCATGCATGCATGCATGCATGCGTGCATATATGTATACAAGCAGGCTATAGTTTCATGCGAGTATCTTCCCTTTTCAAGCATGGTAAGCGCTGTAGGAGGGTTCTGGTGGCAGGCCTTGCCAACACAGCCTGGGGGCTTGCAGCCATGAATGCGCCTGGAGCCTGGGGCTCCTGCCTGAAGGTTACAGCAACAGCGGTACGTATCTATGGGTGATGCTTGGATGTCATTTTGCTTTGGCCGCCGAAGCAGGTGCACAGATAGGTCTGTGAACTAATTATAGCTTCTTGCAGCATATGCTCTGCCAAGCAGACAGCCAGCATTTAATGACTCTGTTGAGTTGCTGGAGGCTGAACATGCCGCTGATGGCTGCGATCAGGTCCGTAGCTTCAGCGTACTTGGGGCCTCCAGTCTTAGTTAAATTGACCTGTAGTGCAGTAGGCAGATGTTCTTGTGGTGAGTTGTATCATTGTGGAAGAATGTACATGACACGGTGGCTGATGCAGATTTGGTGTGATCGTGAAGTGGGAATTGCGCAGGAGAGTGGGCTGACACTGGTGAGGGCAGCCCATGAGACCCAACATCACGAGACCTAGGGACTGGCCATGGCGTGCTAGACATCACCAGCAGCTTGAGCTTGAAATTCGACCCCAGCGGCAGGGGAGGGATCAACATGTTTCTTGCCCAACGCGCAGTCAAGCCAGCCATCATTCCTGGCCCAGGGTGCAGACGCAGCTGAAGATTATGGAGTTCACCCCGCAACATGCAGTCAGCTTGGCATTATCTACATCTGCAATGCTGCCCATTCACATAGACCTCGTGAGTGGAGTACCGCCTCGACTTCAGCAAGAGATGCTCATGTCTGAAGCGAAGGTTGCCTGAAATTCTGCCCTGCATGCGTGAACCGTGACGACAGCAGGACATACAACCCCACCCCATGCAAATGGTTTTGCGCCACATCATCTTAAGGCGGCTAATACAGCCTGGGCTCTTGCAAAAGCTTCCTCCAACGGCCCACCCGTCGGCTTCTCAGGGGTCTTGTGGGTCAGAAGCATCCGGGTAGGCCAAGCATAGATTGCCGGCCAGTAACAGCTAGTAGCTTCCAAAAGTCAGGCACTCAAAAACGTATCGTCAAATATGTCAAGGTTCCTTATGAAGAGACATGGCTTCCGTACTTTGCAGGGTTTTTTCAATTGGCGAGCACCCCCTTCTTCCTGAAACATTGCTCTGCTGCTTGCATTCCAGCTAGTAACATGCTTTAATATGCGTCTTGAAAGTTCTGCTGCGCCTACAACACGCCCTTGAGCACCCCAAATGTTGCCTTCGTTGGTCGCAGCAGCAAAAGAGGCTCCTTGTAAGCAGTGTGCGAGGTGACCGATGCTCCAAGACGGGTCGGGGTCTCAGGGGTAACTATGTATGCGGGACAAATCTGCATCCTTGCAATAAAGGCAGTCTGCCAGGCACAGCTGCCTCACCGGAAGCTTTGTGATGAAAGCCAATGAATGACACACAGTTTCCAGCTTTGTTAGCTGGAGAATCCTTCCACAAGGCAGCGAACTAGCAGTTGTCAATCTAATGGCACGCATGGCATATTTACATCACTGACTTGTCAAAATGGCGAAGTAAGTCGTAAAGGCCTTCTTAAGTCATATAGCAACGTTTGTGCAGCTGTCTGGCGATTCCTCCTTCTGCAGGCCTCTTGGAGCCTTCTCCATGAGCTTGGCACACAGGGTACTGCAGGAGCCCTTGGTTGGCCATGAAATCTTGCAGGATGCGGGTTACAACATGTGATCCAACTGGTTCTCTGCATAAGATGCTGTCTTGTGCTCATTCCCTTGCATGGGGAAATCTTGCATCGCCGAAAACGTATCGTGCAGGAATCTCAGGCCACTGTCACGTATTGCTATGAACACATACGGTGACAAGCAAGTTCGTTTCCTCCAAAAACAAGGAGGATTGCAGTGTCAGTGTCAGTGTCAGTCTCCGTCTCAAGGTCAACATGCTACGGTCTGTCGCAAAGCTTCTGGCAGAAGGCCGGGCTGTTTTTGCTTAACTTGTTGCTCGTATGTAGTTGTCTCGGTTGTTCAGGGTTAGTCGCAGCTCCTTACAGGATTCCACCGGTTTACGAAGTCATCAGTGCCGACTCTAAGCAGTGATAAGTAGACAACACAAATCAGAAAGCAGCGAAAAGCTGGTTGAAGGGGTGCTCATATTATCAGGATGCAGATACCGCACCGTAGTGACTGGCAGCACGATTTGCAAACCATTGTGAAGGTTTTTTGACGATTGCTGCTTCAAGACTAGGTCCTAGTTACTAATTTGGTCGCATGCAGAGGCGCAGCTGAGATAAGGCTGCGTGACCCCATCCGGGGAACCTTGCATAGAACCCACCCACTGGATCTCCAGCCGCTTGCTGGATCATGCTGTCTATCCTTTCCCCACTGCTGTGCGCAACTGCTTCAGGCGGATCTTTAGCGGCTGCTTTGTCGACGGCTGCCAGTGATCTGATGGCAGGGCACCCAGCTCCCAAGGCGCAGTTAAACTACGTGACTGATCAGATCCATGCAGAGCCATTCGCAGGCCTGCTTCAGTTGCCTTTAGCAGCCTAGGTATCAAGATTTTGCACACTTGAACTCAAAAAGACCTATGAACTCTGATTTCCTGTTTAATTCGCAGAGGTCTAGATGAGCACAGTGGACCTGTCGAACCTGTCGCGGTCGCCTGCCATTCTGCAATGCCCGACCCTCTGGGGTTTTAGTTGCGAGCATCAGCCATCGCCTTGTGTCAAGATTTGTGGCCTCTGTGCCTCCCGTGACCATTGGACAAGGGGATCTACGATTGACAAAGCATTGCATGCGTCCCACAATATGTGCTTTTTCTTGCAGCAACTGCAAAAAACTTTATGGCTTTAGTATACTTACCAGTAGGGCCGGGATGAGTTAATACCGGGATACAGTTTTGCCTAAGCATGCGATGCGCTGCAGAGGTGTCGACGAGGAGGGGAATGCTCTATGGCTGTGCGACGTGGCATCATTGTCAATATGACCCCCCCGGACATATGTGTTGCTTTGCCAGAAAACTATGCCGACGATTGTAACCCTCTTTTCAAGTACTACAGTGACCTGATGATAAACCTTGCGCGTTCGGAGCGCGGCTACCTTGCAGCTGATGGAGAGATTTGTTTTCAGCTTATGCAACTGCAAGCTGCCCTGCGGCTCGAGTGGGCACAACATGATGCACAAGAGCTTGCAAGAGACGACTGAAGAACAGCATCCCCAGTGTCACAATCCTTTCGCAAGCAGCCAGTAGGATCAGCCGAATGGCTTTTGCTCATGCGACATGACTGTGTTCTTTTCTGACTTCATTTCCTTTGAGGAGGAATCTCTTTGTACGCGACCGCCAGTCTTACTACCCCACTCATGCAAGGACGCCCGCAAGATTACTTGCTGAGGTTCGTTTCCGGACACACTTGTCCACCAAACTTTGACAGACCAACCCCACCTCACCAACCCAAAGCATTAGAACAGACACTTCAGCGTAGCCCTGCAGCTGCAAATCAAACATGTCGCTGGGACGTCGATGGCCAAAGCGTCAAAGACGGAGGAGCGCAGACTTAGATCACAGCAAAAAGCGTACAGCAGGAGCCTTCTCCATCCACACGACTGTAGTTTTGGATGTTCGTATGTTGGCAAACTAGTAGCAGAGACTGTGCCAGACGTAGGTTGACAAACTTTTTTTTTTCGCAGAGCGAACAGATGTTCCTGCCCGTGGCTTGCCGGCAGGTATCTCTCGACTTGCAAGCAGTTGAGCGTGCGCTGCCAGAGCAGGAGAGGGAACAACATTGGGCAACCTTCTGCACAGCGACGCAACATATCTGAGTGTCATATAGAACAAATTATGGAACCGTTGCCGGCTGGCATATCCGTCGTTCTGCAGTAGGGGGTCTGAGGTCCGGGGCGTAAGGCTGCAGTAGCAAAAACTCTCTTCAGCGTCGGACTTCCTGCTTCGTTGCACAGTCCTGACAAATACCCAGCCGCAAGCCCGCTGTTCTCTACAACAACAAGTTCTCTGACAGATGTATCACCTGCATCTTCAATGCAGGCGGAATGCCTGCTGAACTTGAGGGTGATTCTGCCTGCATTTCTGCCTGCATTCACCATCTGAAATATAAAGCGCCAAATCAAGAATTGGTGATTTCCAGGACATCTTCAGAGCAGCCTCCCCATCCAAGTCGCCCCGCCTTGCGCATTGTGCACGTGGACATCGCTTGAGGGCCGGGCACATCCATGCAGGTCTATAACTGGGCTCACACCCTGGTGGTAATGGTAGTCTGTTGGTGGTTGCAGCCTATGTAGTGATGGTGTTGAGTTGTATTCGTATGTTGCATGTTGTTGCTGTAGCAGCAGCAGCAGCAGCAGCAGTAGCCGCACTGGTGCAGGCGTCACATCAGCGGGGGAGGGGCTACCGTCTTAGCCAGCGCTCTTGCCCCCGCAACCGTCATCATCATCGTCGTAGCCATCATCTTCCTAATTATAGTGATAGTGGTCATTACTGGGGGTAGCAGTAGCCGTTTGAAGGCGATGGCCAGTATGCTGGAGAAACCTTTCGGATAGGTAGAGTACCTTTCCAGGTTGCGGAAGCCTGTCCCGGAAGAAAAATTCAGTACCACCCGCAGAGGGAGAGCCTAAACAGCTTGTGCTTTTGTATGATTTCGAGCCTTGTTACAGCTAGAGGCCCAGACGGTGGCGTTTCAGCAGGAAGCACTTAGAATGTAGGTTCCTGAAGGCTGGCCTGGCATGCGCTGTGCTCTCGGCCACCGCGAGCTGCCTGTCTGGGCACCTTGCTACAAGATCACTCAGGCTGTTCAGCAGACAGATTCTGACTCGCGCCATAGTCGAGAAGTAACTGTGCCAGTGTTGTGACAGGACCATGCTTGACCTGTTAGGTTCTGACTGCAAAGGGCAGTCCCAAATCGGGCGCGACATGTTGTCAGCGTTTTAGTAAGGAGCCAACTAGGCATGGTACAACAGTCGCGCATATGATGACAGCTCGGATTTTCAGAGAGGTGTTGCAGATTTGCATGATTGCGGTCCAATGTTGTGATTGAGAAGCCCCACTTGTGCCAGCGAATTTCGAGGATCGTGGCTTTCAGCACGTGGGAGCCAACGACGATTCAGCAACAGCCGAGCCATCGCAACCACCCCTCCAGCTTTGCCGTTGTGCTAGACGCAGGCTTCCTGGCAGAATTAGCAAGCAGTTCTTCCGGCAGAATGGCAGCTTCCGTCACCTTGCGGCCAGGCTTCCCATAACATTGAACTCTTGAATGGACCCAACTACCACGACATCCCAAATCCTACTTCTTGCGGAAATAATGTCCTTCACAGCGTTGACTGGCTGCAAGGAAGCACCGGGACGCGGGTGCACGTCTACTGTTTTGCCAGAGGCCTGCATTGCATCCAGGTTTGCTTGGATGTCGTATCTACTGCCGCATTTCTCTCGCAAGAGACCTCATGTCTGAGTTCGCCGATCTTTTGCCCGATATGGTATCACTCAAATTCATGCACACTACATGCGCCGAATGCTTCATGCTTGGGCAGGCGGCGTTTGTTCCTTTGGCAGCGAAGTGGTGAGGCATTCAGCAGAAGGGGGATCTGCAATCAAAGCAACATGCCGCAGATTCATAATATTGAGGGGAGCTACCTTGCAGAGCTGAGCATCCTGCATCACGGAAGCTGGCATTCGAGCTGGCAATAATTAGTCTGGGGCCACTTAAGCAAAGAAACCTCCAATTATTGTACGCAGAACCATGCTTGCCACCTTAGTTCCTGTCCATGTGTCCCTCCTTTTCCAAGCGCAATATCAAGCTGAAGAAATGCTGCCTTCTTTAGGGAAACACTTAGTAAAATCCCACAGGCGAGTGACTGGTTGCTCTCTGCCGCACTCCGCACAGCCTTCAAGGTCTAAGTCCAACAAGTCTCAGCTTCCCTGCAATCAGTTGCGCACGGTGGTTTGCGCGTTCCTCAACCCTTTCTCTCAGAACAGATGATCATGAGGGGTCTGGTCGTTGTGATTCAGTAGGCGTTCTTCTTGTTCAGAACGTCAGCAACATACCTGATAATAAGACAAGTGAATAAAATCGCTATGCATGGCCATGCTCAGGGAGTGCTAGCAGAGAGATCTGCCTGGCTCTTCCCGGTTGGAATATCGATATCCAGAAGAGGATTGAAAGTTTCCGGGAAGGAAGACACAACCCGGCCTCAGTTCCTGCACGGAGCCGGCTTGCCTGCCGCATCCTGAGCTCTTCCGGACTTCTACGTTGATCTAGCCAGATGTTAAGAAATGGCCATCTTGAATTCCAGCTCTAGAAAGTCTTGTCCATAGAGTGGCAAGAAAGGGCATTCCTGCGTAGGGTCCCGATGCATGTATGTGAGATGCAGCAAATAGACTCCAAGAAGCAGTGTGTGCCCTGCCAATGCTGTAGTGCCACTGGGCCGTATTCGTCACCAACACATGGCCTCACTTTGGGCCTCGGAAATCAGAGCGACCTTTCAGGGCGGGTCATTATCCCATGACATGTACGGGAAGTATTTCGACATTCTTGTGCTCCGGTAGCTGCCGAGGTCGACCCTCCTGCTGCCACTCCTAGACGAAGTGACTCTCAGAGTGCCAGGGCAGCATGTTTGAGGATTTGGTGGCAGCAGGTCTTCAGACCTGCGCTACCAGGAATCGGAATGGTTTCTGCTGTCACCAGAGGGGCTTAATGGGGTCTTGAGAACTTCGAAAGGTGGCTCTGCCTTTTGAGATGCTGCGGCGATGGTTAGCTGGCGGCTGCAGGTGCCTCACGATCTGCTGTCCACAACCCCACTTGCCGTTCGGGCAACGGCAGGCCCACATTCGAGAGAGAAGCGTTCCTTCAGAAAAAGACAACTTGCCAAGAGAATCTTTAGACAAACGCGAATATCAAGCAAGAGCTAAAGTGGAAAAGATAAGTTTGCGTCGCTGTTCGGACAGCGCTTTGGCACCTGGACCTCGAGAAGCTACCCGAAAAGAATGGTTGAGAAGTCGCATTAGCGAGAAAAGATGATGGCAACAGTATGATAGCTCTTGCAGGTCTTGTAGGGTTCAGGCCACGCTGACCATCATCGTTTCGTCGTGTGCTGTTGGTTTTGTGGCATGCCTACTGTACGGCCTACTCTTTATGACAGCCACCACACAGGTGCTGTTGGCTGAGCGCTTCTTTGCACGAGTGTATATGCATCCTGCTTTAGGGGGTCCAAGCATTTTGCCAGGCCTTCCCTTGACGGATTGGAAGCCATCTTGGAACAATTCCATCCTTCGGATGTTTGGGTGGCAAAATGAACCGCCAGACTCAGCTAAACGTGCGCAACATGCAGGCTTTCGCCTTCTGAGCTCTTCTCAAGTCGACTTCCTCCTGTGGCCCGGCAAGCTTGATGTGGGACATTGCTTGAGAAGCAATACGTGGAGCGATAAGATTCCTAGCTCCTTCGGCCTTGCTCGTGTGGCTAGACTTCCTTAATTACCTGAAGTGTCACTTCATGCAACTGTTTTCCTTGAAAACGATGGTGCCCCCACCCCCTCTTGCAGACGGGTAGGAAGAAGTCTTTGATAGCAAAGCTCCACAGACTAGCACACATGGCCTCTTTATAGAATAATTACCACGGATTCTCTCCAAGCAGACTTTGGGATGTTGCCCAGGGATGGAATTCAGACGCTTGTGCGGCAGTATTCGCTGCTGAACTCCACGGTTGAGGCCGCTGTCTGCAACCTTAGCAAGGCTGAAGGTTGTTTGCGAGGTTGTTCGCAGCAACATCCTGTTCCAAATATCTTCTGGGCATGAAGCTGCAAGCGCAAAAGCTGCTGCCTATCAAGGTGATGAGTGGGGTGGACGAGGGCTGCTTTCAATGGATTGAAACCTGGCCGCAAGCTTTGCCTGAGAGACTAGCTGAAGTATATACGGATACTGAACGAATCCGACTGGTAGCAGCGTGCAAACAAGTGCTCCAAATTCATTCCACGTTCCGTACTTTATGGTTGTTGTGTCTCTTCCGGCCCAGCAACTTGCATTCATTTGCGAAATTGCAGCAAGGCCGTCAACAGTTTGCTCGGGGCCTTTGAAGCTGCAGGTGCACCAGTTCGGCCCTCATCTGCTAAAGTCTACTACTACCCATGGGCAGCAATCCAAACCTAAACCCAGATCGTTCCTTGCACTGCTTTGGCCATGCAAGTTGCAAAAAATCCTAGCTGTTCAATAGTAAGGGGGATCCTCCTGTTCATAATATCCGGCCGCTCTTCTAGAGATGCCGCAAAGAGAGACCCTTTCGCACAAGCTCCATAAAGGGTGGTTCAGGAGGCAATTATTGAGCCAGTAATCTCTAATAAACTTTAGTAAGCAAATTGGCTTTCAGAATCAGTTTTCCTGTTCTTATGATCAAAGCAGCGAAGTAACTGAGTCTCCCTGAACCTTAAACCTTTCTAAGGTGAGCCTGAATCTAATTAACGATGAGTTTACAAGGCAATGTGACACCTTTCGTGGATCAATCGAAATCTATATACAGTCAATCTTAAACCTGTTCAAAAGATAGTTCCTGTTGCTTCTTAGGATCTGGAAATACATTTGCTAAATGTGGTGGGCTTTTGGCCCAACAGCTGCCTCTTCCTTCATGGTTCTTGGATTCCCAAAAGGGCCCAAGACAATGTCTTTGAATCTAGGGGGTTATCAATGTTGAGCTTCGATTACATCACGTCAAGGTGTAGGGCTTGCACGATAAGTGGGATGTCCAAGCAAGACCCTTGTTGCTTCATGGCACACAACTTAGAGCCTCAAGGAGCCCACTCGACAGTGGATACGGGGCTAAGTCAGTGTTTCGTTTTGTTTGAGGACACTTGCGTCTGACGGCCTGATCCATGGAGCAGTGATTGGACACAACCCGAATTTCCAGCTGCAAGCTTGCAAAAAAATATCTCTGAATCCTGGGAAGCCTTCAGAAAGCAGGGCGCCTGCCTTGCACAATCCCTGCTGGGACTCGGGCGAGAGATAGGTGATGTCACAGACCCACAAAACCTCAGAAACTGCGCTACGACTCTTGAATGAGGCTGCAGTTTTCGAGTTGGGTGGCGCGTCCGCGCAGATTTCTGGCTGCAAGTACTGCTGGTGGGCTATTGTGCAGCATGTTGGGCAACAAGTCACTCCACCCCACAGTGGCTCTAAGAAATGTAGAAATAGGTGCTCGAAGGAAGTAAGGCTCTGTCGGTGCTGAGGGCTTGGAGGATTGATTTGCAGGGGATGGTCTGGATTCAGCTGGAAACCACAACAGAAACACGTGAACAACTGTGTTCTGGCGATGGCCTCAAACTCTTTAAGCGGCTGCCGTAACACTCTGACGAGGTCTCCATGCTCGGGCTAGAATGAGTGCAAGACTAGAGTAGCCGGAGTCAGATAGAGCTGAACCATAGAAAGCTTTGTCTTGTGCGCTCCCATTGTTGGTAAGGAGCCGGGTTGTCAGTAAGCAGGAATGGTAGGAGCGATTGCAAACAGATCCGAGCTGTGTGTCTCGCCTCTGAGGATGACGTATGCAGTCCAACCCTTCCGGCTTGCGAAAGTCAGCCAAGACCTTCAAGCCGCTTACATCCGCGAGCTTCTGCCTCAGAAGCCTTGCTGCCACTTTCTGGTCCCATCTTCCAGCTGCTGCCGGTGTCGCATTTGGGACCAACACGAGGATACTATTGTCATGTCGTGTTCGTGACAAGCAAGTACGAACAATGCCAATGCCAATGTCCGTGCTTCACAATGTGCAGCTGCAGGAGAAGTGTTTCAAACCAGCATTGGGTAGCCTACGCACAACTGATATAGCATTCAAAGCCTCGTAGCGAGATCCCCTGAGTGGAGGATGCCAATTTTGATTCGGCCCCCAGATGAGAGCCGTGTCAAAATGATCAAGTCTCAGTCCTTCAGGGTGACCCTTACCCAACCCCCAGCCCCTGACGCCCAAAAATTGCGCAAGTGCTGCAGTTTCCCCCGGGTCCGGCGTCACACCCGTCATCGTCGTACTCGGGTTGACGGTACAACTAGCCATGGCTTGTCTTCTCTAATGCCCTTAAATCACTCTTGTCGCCTTTCCTCTGGTCATGTCTCCAGGACCTTCGTGTAGTCCGGGAGCCCTGCTACCATGTTGAAATGCAATTTCCGTATTGCAGCACAGGCATGGTACAGACTGAGACCGGCATCTCTTTCCTTTCAAGTACAGGAGTGCTGGTGCAAGATAGGGAACCAAAAGCCGCATGTCGGATCCCTAATCTCGCAGCTGTCGGGCCGCCCTTCAGATTTTGAGATGCCCCCGAAGATGGCTATTTCTACAGATCAGGACCCCAAAAATCTGAGGGAACTTCTCATCAGTACCCCGAATAGGAAGCCAAAAATCTAGACGTACCCACTATATAATTGCATTGTCAGCTGAGGCTTTATCCTCCAGGCTGGATTCAGGATTCTAATGTGAAGCCGGGGGATGGGCAGTTTCAACGTGAGTGCCTTGTGTAGCAGCTTACCCAGGATGATGCGCGGTGCATGGGAACGTTTAGGGTTTCTCAAAGTATGGTGGCTCTCTTTTGCAAGTCGGAGGTCATGTGCGGCAGCTTAACTTGAAGCTGCACTCATGTAGCGGAGTCATTCGTACTGTTGTCCCATGTGTGTTTCCTAACCTGAGATTTCTGTGCTGCGCCCCTTGACAGTGAGGGCCAAGTAGGAGTTACAAAGACATGGGGCATTCTATTAGAGTCTGGAACTCCTGTAGGGTCAAGTTACCAGGGGAGCAACTGACAGATCCGTTTACAGTGTCTTCGATGTTCTCATTCGGAAAGAAGCAGATGTCAAGCATCTCGGTTCCTGAAGTCTTCTACAACATGAATGTACAAGACTCCATCACAGTCAATTTATGTTGTCCATGCGGAGACGTCTCTGAAATGCAGCTTGTACGAGCAGTATGCATCTTATGCCTGGACATGTTTGTAAGGTTAGCTGGCCAGAGTGGCGATTACTGCAAGAGCAGTTTTTCGCAAGGCTCGACAGACTCCATTCCGATCTACCAGCATAGCTACCTGGGCTACGGGATCCTGGCCATCCGAACGAAGTTGTTCCAGGACTTGTGCTGCCCTTGCATGTTCTGATTCTGTATAGATGTTCTACATTGTGCCCAAGACTCACTCGTATCACGCCCCTTCATGTAGGCACACCTGAGTCTGCCAGTGAAGAGCAAACACCACAGGAGGCTATCTCGCTCCAAGTGTCCGATGCAAACCCCTGTCTACCCACGCACCAGCCTCGGGTGGATGGAGCACGGAGGTAGCTTATGTGTCTACACATAGCCTTGTCTGAGCTTGCATTGCCCATCTGGAAAAGTGCCAGCACATAGCCCTACACGGGTAACTTCTGAGGTCCCACATCATGGAGTATACCTCCAAGGAAGGCACATTCAAAGGCCATCCTTGCATGTCAATGTTGTTGTACAGCCCCTGAGTGAGACGACTATTCGGATCCATCAGTGAGTCGACTTGGGTTCATGTAATGTCCCTTGTCCAGCAGTTGCTGTACCAGCTTTGCGTGGCACAGCCGCTCGTAACCATTGGTATCCGACAGTAGCAGCCAGGCCAGTCAAGGACCCCAAGCCTTCGTGTCAATACCTAGCAAGTACCTGACTTTGTCAAATACGTGTTCATTGTTTCAAGTGCATGTTTGGAAGTGCCGTGCGGGGAGGAGTTGAGAGTTGCGTGTCAGTTTAAGATGTCTGGGAGTGTTTGCAACCTTGTGCCCCCATGTAGGCCGCGGCGCCGCGGACCAAGACAGATGTGCGGAGCTCTTCAGGAGGCGTGACAGGAAGCAGAAGCAAGGCAACCACAGGCTTGTTCACTACTCAAAATGCAGGGACGGAGCAAATTGTGCAGAAACATGGTGTCAACCTGATTGCAAGATGCTATCCTGTGGGCTCGGATTTGAGCTACATCACGAGCAAAAGTTCTAAAATAACCTGCCTCCTCAAGCCAACCTAGGGTCTCCTGATGTCTCCTGCGCAGGATCCTACAGCCCGGCCGATCGTGTTCACAGGCTCTGCAAGCAGTGGGAAGGTCGTGATCATAAGGATGGTTGGGCTTTGGCCTGGTTTCATAGACAAACGTCAGACAAATATGCTACAAGCGTGTGCGAACCCTCGGCGGGTGGTTTGGCTTCGGAATAGTCAACTTTGCCTTTGCTGCCAATACCTCATTGAATTTTCAAGAATATGCCACGCAGCCTGGCGTGTTGCCTGCTTGCTTTCCTGAAATGCAGACAGCCGAACCTGTTGCTGAGGAGACCGCCCCGGAAGACGTGCACTGCGCCTTTGCAGGAGCTTGGCCTGGTCCAGGCCATAGGGATCCTTCCATATCTTCAGGCGTTAGCATGGCGTTAGCGTGTAGGATAGTGGAGGATTATCAATAGAAGGGGCCAAGATATGGGTTCTGACAAGTCAGGGTTGTATCATGGCTTCGTGTGGTAGAGTCGGGGTTCCTCACCTGCCATCCGGTAGCTTATGGCTGCATTGTTTGGCTTATTCAGCTTGCATGAGGTTTCCAAAGCCATGAGATTTTCAGGTGAGGCAAGTAGACAGGGTGTACACACGCATGGGCTCATACATTTTCAGGTGTTCTTCAGAAATCCTGCTGCACTTTCATGCGCCGGGGAGGCTACAAGTCTTCCCTGGCTACCGGTGGCCGGCCAAAGCTTGTGGCCTGCTCCTTCTTCTTCTGGTGCCTGCAGGCCCGTGGGATCTATGCGGGTATAAGTTCTTAGGGCTTACTCAGACCTCTGAGAGTGCTTCAAGCAGTTGCCTAGGTAGTGTTCACGTCGGTGGCTCACGTTGGATATCGTGGCTACAACTTGCCGCTGTAAGTTTGCTTCGTGCATGATGCAGGATGTCGGCATCATTCCCGCAAATGCGTCGAATGCGGAAGTCACGCCTCAGGCGCGTGATTGTGTGTACCAATGCCTGGCTCCTCAAGTCCATGGTGAAGTAGCAGGGGCTTTTGCGTGCATTGGAGCTGTGATCTCCTTTCACACAACCTGGCAATGTCGCGCATCGCTGCAGGTGTACTTCGAACAGGCGCAGAAGGCATGCAGCCTGTCGGCCACGGAGCTGGACACAGCTTATCCAGGCACTGTGCTAAGCCCCTTTGCGGTCATCTCTGCTTAGGTCTATGGTCAGGGTTGCATAAATCTGACAGCAGCCCAGTGTACTTGGATCACGAAGGCAGAAATTTCAGCGAAACTTCGTTCTTCGCAAGGTCTGCGGTAGCGCCAAAGCTCTGACGAACCTCGCAGCTCTGCCTTGCTTCCCCAGCGCGGCTGTTCTGTATCATGTCTCGGCCGCAGCTTAGAAAATTCTGAAATCGGGTTTGGCCCAGCGTCCTTCCAGGGCAAGGGTCTCTGCAACAGCCACACGGGGCGCAATTGCATGAACAGACGAAAGATTGTCTTGGGAGCGCCAAAGCAGCCCGGGTTTTCATGGATCGACACGCGATGCAGGCTTGAGCGCTGAGCGGGCTTCCTGGCTATGCTCGGAACTGAGACTCCCAGAGGCTGACGCCAAGTCCACAGGGCCCAAACAAATAACTGGACTCTAAGCTCACGTAGCAGCATTCGCCATAAAACATGCTGCAAGGCTGGTGTCACTTGCGCTCACATTGGTGGTTCCAACACGAAGTTTAGACTCCGATTTCTGCAGCTTGATATCTTCTCATGGCAAGCTGTATACCACCTGCACGCTGCATGCTCCGAGGCTCTGAAATAACCTACGTCTACGTCCTGTTGACCTTTGGCTTCGGTGTTGAGGCGGGGCAGACACTTCAGCCACGCCGCAATTGGAATCAGTTTCTTTCATGTGAGCTCCGAAGATGGCACGCTTTCGTGCTAGTATGCCTTTCTGTACAACTCTTCCAGGTGTGCCCATGCTTGCTGGGCCCAGCCAACTTAAAGATATCATTGAGACTTCCTTGGTGGACTGTGCACCCTTAAAACGAAGACGTATGTCTACAGAGGCATCACACCACATCCACCTCATCATGTAGAAGCTGGTAAGTCCAACCAGATCCAGATGTATCAGACCTTTGACCTGACTCCTCCACAACAATGCCTAATGCCTGGCGGTAAGAGCCAACCTTAGACAGCAAAGATCTTGAGACACCCGCGGGGTCAGAGTACATGCAAAGAGGGCAATTGTGTACGGGCTTCTCAAGAAGATGAGAGTGGAGTGGAGGTCCTTCTTTATGTTTTGAGGTGCCTGGGGAAGCAACCAAGATAGTGCGCAGATGTGAGCAGCATGCAGGCAGACGCCAACATGATGGTCCTAAAGGCATCCCGCATGGACACAGAATTCGCCAGCACTCCATGCTGCTTGAGTTAGCCGGCAACTGTCCTCCGGGAGTTCCCGGAGATTATATGTATCTAGGGTTTGAAGTATAGCACTTTGCTCACTGAGTGTGTGTCCTGCTTGACATTGGAACGTTCGTGCGCAGTGTGTGGAAGCAGGTTGGCGAGGATTATGCAGCATTCTGAGTTTATGCGCAGGCCGGTGCTCAAGCAGTCATTAAGCTCACGGTCGCGTAGCCGCGTAGCTGTAGAGCTGCCTGAACTCAGCTTGCCTTCCAGAGAGCGGCTTGACAAATGCTAGCATGCTCCGTTTAGCTTCTGTGCCACAAACGGATGAGGAAGACCAGGCGGGGCCATCTACCTCGGTGGATCCGCGATGCAGGGCTAAATGCATCACGGTGGGCGCTCTTGGTGTTCTGCTTCTGGTGGCATATTTGTGTTCGCCTCCTTCTCTGCTGGCCTCCAGCGAATTCTCCAGCGAATTCGTGTCCCTCCAAGGTGTTCGGCTGCCAACGCTGCCGCCGAGCCCGGTGGATCAGTTCAAGGCAAATCTCAGCAACTTCAGAGACAAGTGGGGCATCAATAACCAGCGAAAGGATCAGATTGCGCTCTGCGTCATCAACCTGAACTTGGGGTTCTGGAAGCTAGTGCAGTGGTCCACTATCCTTACGGAAGCGACGAACAACTGCCCAGCAGGCTTTTACGACATGGACAAGAAGATGGCATGCAACATCAACTTGGCCGCCGTTTTTGCGCCGCTTTCAGCTAGCATTGGCCTCTTTTCTAGCACGGCCTTCCTTTGCCCTGGCAGGCCAAATCCAGATGCTGCCTGCGCGTCGACATTTGGAGCCACCTTTGAGATGGCCGCCAAGTTTGCTGCTTCGCCCAACCAGATCTCGCTCTTCTGCCCAAAGGCCTCGCAAAAAGAATTTGCGAAGACTCACCAGACGGTATACATGAACGAGAGACGGCTGGCCAGCAACAGCTCCCACAGTCAGCAGCTTCCTACAGATTCCAATCACACAGGAAGTGCGGAGGATAGAAAGCTCTACATTGTCCTTCGGAATCCAACCGAGCCCAATGCTGACGAGCTCAAAAACACATTCTGCACCTGGCAGATTGCACAGAGCATCCTTTTTGCTATGCGCGCTGGCCCGCTGATTGAGATTTCCACCAAGCTCTGCCCACCGCCAGCTGGTGGCACTGCGGCCTGTTCTCAGATCATCAACGAGATTATGCTCATGTTCTGGAACGTAGGGAAGTTCATCGCAGCAGCTGCCGCCAACTGCGTACAAGGTACGGACGTGGCTGCTGGCTGTGCTTTGGGCAGCCTCAATCTGGTTTCTGCATTCTCGGCCTTAGGCAGCGTAACTTCTTCGCTTGCAGACGGTGTGTGCACAGATCTGCCAAGCCAGAAAAGGGCGGCGAGGGACCAGCGCATTAACCAGAAAATACGGAAGATCATGCTTCTGGAAAGCATCTCCTTACGACGTCTGCTGCGCGAGAAGAAGCTGACAGGCCTTGCTGTAGAGGAAGCGTCAAAGCGGATCGCCCAGCGCGACCCCGGCAGCAACGCCACGGTCATGGATCTGCTGCACTCCCTGGGATTACACGCGGAGTCCGCTCACACGCAAGAGCTGGTGCAGTCGCACCTCCGCAGCCTGAAGTCGACACATTTGGAGGAGTCCGAGCGGCAGCAGATGTTCGCCAAGGCACGAGCCCTGCTTGCCAAGTACCACGCGTCAACTGTGTCCAAGCCTCCCTTCGTATCATAGCAATGTGTTGCTCGCCGATGCGGGTATCAGGGCAAGTTCCATAATTTTTTCCAACATAAGGAACTATTTCAGGCCCCCCGCCGAGTCCTGAAGCGTGATGCCGCGCATGTGCCACCAGCTGGAGTTATGCTCATTCAACGCTACCCTCACTAGATGACATGCAAGTACCTGCTAGCACTTGCTGTTGAAGGTTGGTCTACGGAGCAACTCAGGCACATTCAGGCACCAGCCAGTTCCTGCATGGCGTCATGAAGGCTTTTAGCTCTCGACGCTACCATTCCAGAGGGGTGGTTTCCAAAGTAGCTAGGCGTTCCAGGGCTGCCAACACCAAGAATTTGTTCCTCGCTGGCAGTTCTCATTTTTGTGCCATTGGGCAATACTAAATTTGTTCCGACAACCTCCAAAGAGTGGTTGCTGGCTTTCCGGATGCAGGCTCGCACCAAGGTGTGCTGGGTCCTGCAACCTGCTCTTGACTGCTAGTGCGTGGCACAAACTGATGACGACTTGATGTGGTTTATTTAGCCGGTCTGTTCTCCTTGTGGCTTTTCTTCTGAGCAGTTCTCTCCCTGTGCAGGATATCCGGACAAGTTCTTAGTTGTGGCAGTCATGTGTCGGCGATATGTAGGTAGAGCAGCCATGATGCAGCATTAGATCACTCGCGCCCAACAATACTACGACTTTTTCCTCCCGGAGTCACGTGTTAGTGGTTTGTGCGAGGACCTTGCTCTGGGGTACGGTGGGTTATGGCTTGCACCCTCAGGCCTTCGCCCTGAGTACGGTCAAGCTCCTTACACAGCAGGTGATTTGCAGACCGCTCGAGAGAATTGCTTCCCAAGGGTTACCAAGATTGAAGGCAATTTCATCTAAAAAGATATATATACATATGATTATATACGGTAGAAACGGGAGGGAGGGGGCGACTTCCTTCATCCTTCCCTCCTGCTACGACAAAAGCGTCCCCGAAATGTAGATGCGCGAACCCGCATGTGATATGGGGGGGAATGAGATCATATTGAAATTTCAATATCTTAGAAATCGAATACAAAATCGGTTCAATACAATTAAAATCGCAATTACTCATATCAATTGACATCTAGTTCAAATCTAATGAAGTAAAACCAGCTTAAGATTGACTACAAAAATCATGTCTAGTCGAAATCTAAATAAGATCGATTGAAATCCAATTGGAATTTGATTAACAACTATTGAAATCTCATTAGGATCTGAATAAAGCCTTGTACGATCGTAACCAAATAAACTCAGATCGCATTCGGAACTTAGATAGATTCCTTTTTAAAGACCGTTCTAAGACATTCAAAATCTAGGAAATCAAGGAGATCCCGAATCCTTAAAAGTCAGGCTAGGGACCCCCCTCCCTCATTCAGATAATCCGAGCCGTAACTTACTCTAGTCTTGGCATGTTGGAAAGCAAGTAGTCTTGGGGCCAGATTTCAGATTTTCGAAGTGTGGGAACGTATTCCATATAGAGTGGATTTAAGATACTATGGGGAACGATTACTGCACTGCTGCTGCTCATAACCAAGAAGTTTCTGAGCAGGAAATGGATGGCCCTGCTGGCCGCTTTGCGGCTAGTTGGACTCTTGGACTTGCCCTCGAAATCTCGCGGGGCCGGATGAGGCCAGGGTCTGTGAACATTTGGGGCGCGTCAAGTTTTGTGTGCGCAGAGTCCGGCCTCGAGAACGTTGAGCGTGACAGGTTTCAAGTTCCTGGGCCGTTGACAGAGGAAGAGCGCTAAAACACAAGCAATGATTACATGCGACCATGCTGCCTCTTGGATTCGGGTGATGACTTGACATGTTCTGCATAGCTGCATCTTATTCGACAATCTTGCAAAGATGGCTGGTCAACGTCTGACCGTTCCTTTGAATGCAAGTTGATGTGGACCAACCTGGGATGTGTTGTGGCAGGCCGCCGCCCTGAGGCTGCAAACACTGCAGCTTAGCGACGGGCCGGGCCGCGGGCATGCATGTGCCGCAGGAAGGATATGCCGACTTGCGTCTCACAGTTGGCTTATGGGTTGATTGAGGCACTGCATCATTTCAACAGCATCAAGAAGCTATTTCCAGACAGTCTCTCAACACGTTATCGTCACTGGGACGCTAGACCCTGAGCTGCGCAATCTCTACCAGGCAAGCGCAACAGCTTCAACCATGAAGCATAAAGCCAACATAGACACTCGCAGTAGCAAATGATGTGATTTTCCCTCAGCACAAAAACCCTTGAACAAAGAGGTCATCCGGGTCTGGCTCATAAAAGGACAGCCATGAGCGTGCCGTGCCAATGCTTCTGACCCCATCAGGAGTCGAGCTGTGATTGGCTTGCAGGCGTCTCTGGCTGCAGCTGCGGAGCTTTCAGTTCACAAACTGCGAGGGGCCTGGTGTTGTTCTGCTGAATGAATCCGGCAAAATGACCCAGAAACTCAGCTGGGGCTTGTAAGCGGAACACAACTGGGAACTTCCCGGCAACTGTATCGCCTCACACATGCCACAGAAAAAGCCCATGCGAAGACAAACCTTAACCTTTCGACCACATGCCCAAATCTCTAGACTCTAGAGCCACTCAATCTCTGCCAACGGCTGGAAGTTCTTAAATCTGCGCACACTAAAACCTTTAGCTGGCAAAACATCGAAAAAGGAACCTCATTCAGGCCGCAACTTGGGTCCCAAGACCTTTCCATCAGCGCCCGGGCGCTTGCCAAGCCGTGGGCCTGGAACACCTGTGCTGCCGGTTTTGCTTTGGGACCTTGGTTACTTCAAATTTCTGTTCTATTTGCACACGGCCTTGTACAATTGAGTACGTCATGGGACCTGATTTTCCACTGGGCCGGAATGAGCGCAAGCCTCCATGTCATCCTTCCACAAGATGAAGAGTATCAAGTCTGAGCGCCTGATTCTTCAGAAGCCAATCCGGCATGGCGTTCAGCAGACATCGTTTTGAGAGCCTCGTGTGTGCGTTGCACCAAAAGCGTCAGCAGTCACAGGCTGCGCTTGGGCCATGGACCTGGAAATTTGGACCTTCAGTGTTGCCCCGCGGAACACACTGCCATGGGTAGCATCGGATACAGTGTCTAACAATCTGTTTGTAGCAATAACTCCTAAGTTGAAGGAGTCCAAGCTTCCTCTTTGGCGTTTCTGCTTCTCATGTCTGACGGCATGCTGAGATAGGACCACACCACATCACATGACAGGATCATGCACTTCAACACTAGCCTACAGTCTTCCGAATTGCTCATCTGCATCGGCTGGCCTCCTGCGCTACAATAGAAACCATGGCGGCAGGCCTCCTCTTGCCTCGCAGCTTCAGGTAAAGTGTAAATCGTTCCTGGTAGTCATTTGCGCATGGTAAGCTCACCTGCTTACAAGGGCATGTAGACATATGTAGACTTCATAGCTCGCGTTCTAATCCTGTTTTCAGAGCCCTGACATGAGATGTAAGGAAGCCGAACATTTCTCTCATCAGACTTGGGAGCGTAGAGACCGTTGCTGAGGTTGGGCCTTGCCGAGGACACTTTCTTCCAGGCCCTGGCAGGAGCTTCCATCGCCACAGCCCTGAAGCATTTGCAATCTACGGCAATTTCAACTGACATCGTGGATGCGTATGGTGGCTTTCGAGTTAGCTCCAGAACGCTCAGCCGCGCAGATCATGGGGCACGCATTTTCAGGGCAAGAGCCTGCATCCAAGGTCAAGATCAACGATCTCGGAGCGCAGAGTCTGGGAAACACTGGCTTGCATCTGAGCCAGAGATCAGGGCAGCTGATGCGTAGCTCGATACATGCTGGTGACCCTCAATTGAAACATCTCCTGACCTCACAACATCCAGAAGCCATAGGTCCCAGCTCTGAAAGCTTCTCAGCCTCCAGAACTGGTCATCCAGCTACCAAGGTTGGGCTTTTGGTAAAAGCCAAACGCTCAGCTTCCACTTCTGCTCTTGGAAGTGATAGGAATGATGTTTCTGTGCCTTTTCTGCCGCTAATGCTTCGTACTAGTGTAAGCACGCTTCCGCGGCTGCGCTGCAATGCAGCGCCAGGTGCCTCAGGGCACTGAGCTGCTTGCAGTATGTCTCACATCTTGGGGTGGGGTACCAGGGGCTGCTCTCACACTATTCAATGGGGCTGCTCTCACACTATTCAATTCTGTTAAAAGCCAGAAACTGTAAAAGATGCACTTTCACGGAAAAATTACCAATAGTCGAAACAAGCTCAGGATCCTTGGCAGATGAGAGGCTGCTCCAGGTACCATCCCTCGCAGCTCGCCGCAGCCTGAGTCAAAATGGCAGTTCTTGATGGCAATGTGGGTTTCCAGAAGTTTTGGGGGGCCCTTTTCTTGTGGTCCCTTCCATGTGCCTTAACTATCCTTAACTTAGATATACTTCAACACCCATAGCATTTCGAAGTCTATTCGCGGACACTTATTATTGCTCATACCCAAGAGAGTGGTGCACCGCGCGTACGGTTGAGGGTGCTGTGCGAAACACATCTAGAACACTTCACCGTTATGAGCGACAAGGCAAGAAGATGAAGGAGATGCGCCCACAGCAGCTCTCCAACATCGCTTGAGGCACTGGAAAGCCACAACCCTCAAAAGTAGTTTCTTGTTCCTTTTCCATGTGATTCCCAATTATTTGGGTCATGTGTCCCATATGCAACCGTACGCAGCTTCCATTCAACTGTCCCTTTGCTTTTCCGTTTCAATCTTCCATTATCCTGCAAAGATGTCTAAGCAGAGCTTGGTCGTGGCAAATCGGAGAGGTCACGGCACGGCACATGCTTTGGATGAGCCGCTGTCGGATGCGACAGCTGAGGAGGCAATCCTGAAGGCGGGAAAGCAGCCTGGTGTGCGTACCCATGAACAGCTCAACACGCAGCTACAATCGTTGGCATCGGGTTGAGATCTAGAGGGTGCGGATCACAACGCGTGCAATTTCTGCAGCAAACGTGAAGCACGGCTTGCTTGCTGAAAGCCAGTGAGGCAGCTTGTGGAACGTACTGCTCTCCCCTCCCGTTGTCCACTTGCAACTGCCGATCCTGCCCTGTGAGGTTCGGGATCTTGACCCGCAGAACTTATCCATGGCCTGGCTCCAAGGGCAAGGACCAGCCGTATGAGCTGCTGAGCTCGTGGATCAATTGCACCTTGCTTCTGTAGGGCTCTTTGATGATTGACCCCCTTCTCCAGGCCCATTGGTGTAGATGTGACCGCCTAGCCTGCACATGGCAAGGAGTTGTAGCCAGCATGAGTTTCTTTCAAGCAAGTGGTTCTTTCCGTACATCTTTCTCATCCAAATCGAGACCACCTTTTGATTTCTTCGAAGATTCGAAGTTCTTGCCCACACTCACCAGTCACCGCACCGTTGACAAGGCGGGCAGGGCATTTTTTTTGTGCCTTATAGTCTTTTGCTCCATAAGCCCATGATGTGTCTTCAAGTGCGATCAGGCACGATCCAATCGGCTTTATTCCAGTTCCGCCTCTGGCATCTTGAGAAGTACAGTAGTCTGCAGAAGCGCCTTTCTAAGGCTGCTTGGGCGCGGGCAACTCTCGGCTCAACGCATGCGGCTTTGTTTGCAGCGACCAGGCGGGCTTGCAGCCTCACGGACCGATATGCAAGAAACCTAGCAATTTGAGACACGTCGGGAAGCTGGACCAGGAAGGACTTCAATGTTTCAAGCCCGGTTCTTAAAACAAACAGCAGTGTGCCACAGGGAGGCCGCCATCGTCAAAATTCGGGCGTGAGATCCTCAGCTTTGAGAGACAGGGAGGGTTGATTTACATGGCAGGCTGTGACAATCGAACCGTACGGAGTGCTGAAGGCATCTTTGAAAAGACGTCGGTCTGTCACTTTAGGCTTCTTGCGTAACACCTCTGTGGCACTCAGGTTGCCCAAATGGCAGACTTAGACTTGACATGTTATGCTCCAATGGCGAACTTGTGCTCGCTGTTTTTGCAGCTGAGGCTTAAGCCCCAAGAACTCAACAACTTGGTGTGGGGATTTGCAACGCCAGGATCTGAGATGTTCAGCCAATAACCATCACCGCAAGCACGTGGAGTCTGAAGTCTGGTTTCACGCGTGTCAAGCTTGCGCATGTGCACCTGGAGACTATAGCACCCAGAAATAAGTGAGCACCCTTGGGACATGCCAAAATCTGACAAGAAGTGCAGGAAGACCTGGTACCAAGAGTTCTCAGCATCGCAGCTCCAACTTGTGCGCTTTCAACAATCCACTTGGACATGTTGTTTTTCCGCATGTTGTTGTAGATGCTACTGTACACTCGCTTCAACTAGAACCTCATCATTCCTAATTTCAAATAAATGCAGTTAAGCTGCGGATGCCATCACCTAGGTCAGAGGTCTGCAAGCTATCAGAATCCCTTTGCTGTTTAATTTGCTCAGGTTGGGGATCGTTGGTCAGCCGTCACTTGCAGCCACCTCCGAAGTGACTATTGCCAAGGTCACCAAGTACAGTTACGATTGTCAGTATTGCTCGTAAAGGTGGTGCTTATGGTCCAGGGTCTCGTGGAGACCTCCCGCATTGATTGTTTTCTAGACGTCTGCGCGCCTGTGAAACCAGATTCTGGTAATTACGTCCCAGCCGCAGGTTTTGCTACCTGTGCGGTCTGTTAAACTTGCCATGAAGCACGCAGGCTGCTCGACTCCTGCTTGTGGGTTCGCGGTGCAGGCAGTAAGAGGCAGCCTGTGGGAGCTCTGGCAACGCAGGTCCGAGAGCTCAACCCCCAAGACCTGGCGGTTACGGCACTGGCCCTTGCCCGCCATGGACTCAGAGAATGGCCTGACCGCATACGCGGGGCTTAGGGTCCGGACTAAAAACCACAGCTGTCATGTGCGCCCTGAAATTAAATCCAAAGAAAAGGAAAGGGGTTGGATTAAAGTCGGAAGAAATGTGGATGATGACGATGATGATGATGATG